TTATACAACGTGGGCATGGATTCAAGGCAAATCTGGCACGTGTGGCTTTGCTGAGGTTTGTCCACATGGATGGTTTTCAGGTGGATCTCCAAGACGGCGAGGCTATTGAAATCGCGTTTGGTGCAGTACGGGCAGCTGTAGGAGACTTTCGACCAGGACTGGCCCTCTTCTCTCTCCAGGGACCTCATCTTCTTTTGCCCTCTCAAGGGTTTCAGAGTCGAGTCGGGAGTGGAGCCCCGCTCCACCGAAGCGCTGGAATCTGGCGTGGCGCTGCTCATGGAGGCCACACTGCCCAAGACAGGGTCGGGGCTGATGCTGTGGTTGCTGGAATCAGGCTGCCGGTGGCTATCCAAGTGGCAATAGACCTCCTCCACCGAAGAGAACTGCTCTGGGCACATGGGGCACTTGTGTTTCTTGTTGGCGTGGGCTTGGTGGATGTGGGATAGCAGGGAGTTCTCGTCAGCAAACACCTCAGGGCAATGGATGCACTGCAGGTCAGCCTTCTCGGAGAGCTGCGGGTGGCGCGTCATGACGTGCTTCTCCAGCTCCTCAGTCTGGCTGAAGGTCTCCTCGCAGTAGTCGCACATGAAGTCGTCCTTCTTGCCATCCTTCTCGCTCTTGGCCAGGTGCTCCTTGTTCTTCTTGTGGGCCTGCATGTGGCTCTGCAGGGAGCTGGTGGAGGAGAAGCCCCGCTTGCAGACCGTGCACTTGAAGGGCTTGCTGGAGCTGTGTGTCTTCAAGTGGATCTTGAGGTGGTCGCTGCGAGAGAAGGCCGCCTCGCACTCGTGGCAGTGGTACTTCTTGTCCCCTGTGTGCAGCTTGATGTGCCGGTCCCTGCTCCTCTTGTGCTTGAAAAGCCGGCTGCAGTAGGTGCATTTGAAAGGTAGCTTGTCGCTGTGGATCTGCTCGTGCCTTTTAAGGTAGCTCAGGCGAATGAAGGACTTATCGCAAAACTGACAGGGATACGGCAGGCCGGTCCCCCCTTCCTCCTCCCCGATGCCGAGATCACACCCATCTCCTATCATCTGAGTGGGTGATGCAACGTCTTTGCTGGAGGGAGATGAAGCCACCCAGGAGAGTTGTGGGTCGTCATCGCCATCTGTAATGGGAAAGCAGAAAGGAGATTAAAAACAATTCCCAGTGCATCTGTGAAAATAGGGACAAAGCCGTTCAACAACACTATGGCCCTTCTGCTACTACAGCGTTTAAAAGAGAGAGGAAGAAAGCAGAAGAGGGAAAGATTCAATTGCAGAACAAAAACAAAACTGAAAGAACCAGCGCACCCCACAAATGCCTCCTGAATCTTAACAGGATGTTGGAGCAAAAGAGAAAATGCAGATTAAGTCTGCTGCACAAATCTATTCTTTTTAAAGTAAAATAAACAAATATGCCAAATACAGAGCATCCGTTATTAATGTTAAGCAATTTCTCCTTCTTCCACCCCCCTCGCAAGTCCCCCAAGCAGGTTTAACACCTGTCTACTGTATTGCCAAGCAATAAACAGCGAGTCAAGAAAACAAAGCGCAACATGCCTCAGAGCGATACAAACATTTCTAAGAGCTGCTGCGTTAAGTGCTTGTACGTGAGCATTTTTCAACACATACTTGTCGGAACGGTTTTCAAATAATACGGCCTGGAAAAAAAAAATCCGTTCCGGCCCTGCCTCAAAATGGGAAAGGCTACACGGGAGCAGTTACAACCAGAGAATCTCCCTCTCTCAAACACACACACACACACAGAGAATCATTCAATAGTATTGTGACATAAACAAGATGGATTTCCCCAAAGCCCACTTGCACCTGAAACAAAACTGAAATCAATGGTCAGAGGCTGGAAAAGGTAAGGTGTCAGGTGGCTTTTAAACCACCAATTAAAAAAAAAAAAGGCACCCCCCCCTCGTTGGGCTAGTCATGCAGGGTGGGCAGCATTCTGCACTGTGCACCCAACTCTAAAGGTGATTCCATGCAGTCAGAGTCAGCCTGGCTCCGGCGCCAATTTCATGCCATGTGTGTGCCTGCCAACTCTGCAGCAAGACGGAAGATACTTCGTTGGCAGCAGGGAAGGGAAAGCAGTTCCACATCGTAGCTCAGAGCCTCTGGGCCTGGCAGTGCCACGGCTTTGGAGGGGGGCACCTCCACCATATTGTGGGGGGGGAGGTGGGGGTTGAGCTATTGGTTTTGCCAATTTCAGATTTGCAAAGATCTTTTTTCCCTTGCACACGCACACAGTTCAACTCAAAGCGCCAGGAATAAAGGATTGATTTTCTTACACAGCTGCTTTTCCCTACAAATTCATTGCAGCTGTTTTGATCCCTCTTCGTTTTCACGTCTTCCACAAATGCAAACACGAACGGTAACAGCTGCTGGTCCTTCCCCACCTCTCTGTGAGCTTCTACTGTCAGGCCCCCCAATTTAGTGCTAACACTCAGCCACTTGTAGTTGACCCCAGTGCTACTGAACTTTTCCAGCCACTTGGTATACTTTGCTTGGTTCTTAGTCCATAACTTTTTTGGAGAGCTGAACAGAACTCTGCTCTGTCAGTAGCTCCCTTACCTCAACAAGTAGGTTGCCCCTCCTCTACCATGCAAGGAGTGCACCAAAGTCCTCTGCAAATGGGTCCAAGGAAGAGTCTGGAAGGACCTAGTGCCACAGAACTGCTGAAGCTAAGCAGGTTTCGACCTGGTCAGCCCTGGGATGGGAGGCCACTAAGGGCATCCCTTTCAGAGTGGGTCATAAAATGCAACATTTTAAATGATGAATATTTTTTTTAAAAAAAAGGTTGTGCCCTCAAACATGGCTACTTGGGCCTCACCAAAAATCCCAGTACAATAAAAAGGTTTGCGTATGCTAATAATGTGTGTGCACAGGTGCAAATTTAGAAATCATCTTTGTAGTTTTAAAATAACTACAGTAAAGCTCCCCTTAGCAAGGAAGACTGAAACCAGGTGACTTGTCTGACTTGTCTGACTACTCAGTCTGTTATCCAGGTGCTGTGGATGGGCAACTTCAGGGTCCCCCATGCGTCTCTCTCATAAATGTTACTAGCCAGTTAAATAAATAAATGAATAAATGCACCTGCAGAGGGCTGGGAAAGGAGAGATAGAGGGTTCCCTCCTTCCTCTGCAGCCTGTAGAGAACCTACCGTGAGTGCAGAAGAGGATCAAAGCACCCACATGTGATTCAATGCCCATACACAAAATCCCTTATCACCAACGTCTACCAGGCTACTGTTGAAATGCAAGGCTGTTAACATATATTTCATATGCATAAATCTCAGATAGCTCGTATGCTTAATTATCTGAGGACCCTTTCTGTTTTGTGCACCCCCATCAGATATTTACTAAAATATGTTTACTCTGGATTTCTTATTAATCTAATCACATTCGGTATGACAGGGAGGCCCGTCAACTACTGCCCTTGTCTGGCATCTGTGGTCTTTGCTGAAGATTAAGGCCTGGCCCTATTACCTAAACCTTGGGCTTGCACTTAACATTAATCTTATTTTTTTCCAACTTTATTACAAAAAAAAAATTGTTGCATTTTAGTCCGCCTTACCTCCTTTTCACTCTATTCCGTTTTACCGCCAGTACCTATTGTAAACTGCTTTTGGCATAGCTCCATCAGAAAGCTGTATAACATGGCTTGGCTTTGGTTTTTTTATGAAGCAAATTAAGAATAAGGTGCGCTCTCTTGCGCGCACGCCATAGAAAGATCTGGTAAGTGTTCAATAGAATTATATATTTTTTAATTTTTACTTTTGAAATTCATTAGCTACCTCCACCCCCACCCTCAGCCTACGATCATACCTTGTGCAGATGAGAAATTAAACCTAACTCTGCAGATTGTAAATCAACGGCACTCCCCATAATGAGCAAGCTTTAAGCCTTGCCCTGGACAGCCTCTGTCTCGCTCTCACGCCAGCTACAATCACAGGGGGCCTTTCTCACCAAGCAAGAAAGGGGGAGGCTGCCTCTTCCCCCCCCCCCAAGGACTTGAATTAATGGGCTCTTCTGACTGGAAGGATTCAGCTGGCTGCTTGCTCCCTGGATTACATTCAGCAGGGAAGGACCAGCAAACCGCTGCACACACTAATTCCCAGCTCATGCCAGCTGGGCTCCTCAAGGGGGATTCAGGCAAACGGGGGGAGGGGGGACCAGGGAGGCACAAGGGGGCTTTTAAACTAGGGCAACAAATGGCGAATTGGCTCTCAATGTGTTTCCGTATTTTTAAAATATTACTCCACTGTAATATTATTAGAACAACAGGAGTCCATCGAGCCATCACTTAAAAATACAAGAACTTAGGGCTGTACATTTGCAAAACACTTTAAAATGCCTTGCTCTTAAAACACAGCGATTGCTTTAAAGCAGCCATGAGTCTGCCAGAGCAATTTTATGCACGTTTACTCAGAAATAAGTCCTATGGGGTTCACTCCCAGGAAAGTGTGCCAAGGACTGCGACCTGCAAGGAGCTGGCCACTGAGGAAACGAAATCTTGGGAGAGTTGGGGTTCAGTCACCGTGGCTCAGAGCCAACACAGGTGGCTAGCAAAGCAGCAGAATCTTCTGACATGGTTGTGTTCTTTTAGGAATTACTCAGGAATAGATTGGCCTCCAATCCAGTCTTTAAATGAATAAGAGTCCAGTGTAAAAATTTGGTGGCAAGATCGTCCCCTTGCATGCCATCTGCACCATGTTTCCAGTCGAGACCAGCTGTTTGCAATGCTTTCAGACTTGGGCCCACCTTTAACACTAACCTTCAACTACAGAACCCACTATTACTGTATTTTCCACTCTATAAGACGCACCAGACCATAAGACGCATCGAGTTTTTGGAGGAAGAAAACAAGAAAAAAATATATTCTGAATCCCAGAAGCTAGAACAGCAAGAAGGATCGCTGCGCAGTGATCCCTCTTGCTGTTCTGGCTTCTGAGACAGCTGCACACCCTGCATTCGCTCCATAAGACGCACACACATTTCCCCTTACTTTTTAGGAGGCAAAGTGCTCGCTTCAGCAGCACATATACTAAAATTGGAATGATACAGAGAAGATTAGCATGGCCCCTACTTTTTAGGAGGCAAAAAGTGTGTCTTATAGAGTGAAAAATACGGTAATTTCTTTCTCCTCCTGCTGTATCCTTAAAGAACATCTTAAACACGGAAAGTAACAAAAATGGCAATGTACAATCTGCTTTATGTCACTTAGGAGTCGCCAACCAACCAGTTGAATATCAGTGATCTAGAACAGCCTGTTGTCTTCCAGCCACTATCCCTGACTATTGGCCATGTTGTATCGGGAAGTTTTTAATGTTTGATTATGTTTTATATGGGTGTTGTATTACTATTAATTATTAATTAATATTAAAAATTAATATTGATAATGGAAGGTGCTGATAGGAGTACCTATAACAGGTATAGTGGTACCTCTGGATGTGAACGGGATCCGTTCCAGAGCCCCGTTCACATCCAGAAGTGAATGCAACCCGTGTCCGCGCATCCGCGGGTCACGATTTGCCACTTCCGTGCACGTGCGTGACGTCATTTTTACCATCTGCGCATGCGTGAGCAGCGAAACCCGGAAGTAACACACTCCGTTACTTCCGGGTCGCCGCAGCACAAAACCCAAAAATACTTATCCCGAAGCTACTTCAGCCCGAGGTATGACTGTATTTCTATACCCTCCTTCAAATAAAATAGCCAGGGAGGTTTACATTTAAAAAAATACAAGATACACTGAAGAGTACAAAATATTGAACAAAGCAGTAAACACAAAAAGCAAAAGACATTTTGAAAACAGTGTTCAAACTACTAATAAGCTTGGGGGAAAAAGAGGTCTTTGCCTAACACCCAAACACCGCAATGCACCAGGTGAGCCTGTCTAGAAAGAGAATTAGTGTACCGTGGTCAAGGCACCCCTGTTCCTGGTAGCCACCCACCATACCTAAGAAGGTGTAAATACCTGACAGGTAAGCACACATGGAAACAAGCAGCCCTTGGTTCTCAGCCATGGAGAGCTTTAAAATAGGGGTAGGGTACCATTTTTCTGCCAATAGAAAAACTCCCTTTGGAGTCGCACACTAGGGTGGGTGGGTAGGGCCGGATTTCTAATGGAAAGGTCCAGACAAATGTGAGTCGGCCCACAGTCCAGAAGGCCACATGCAACCCTTTAGTCAGAGATTCTCAGCCATGGCTTTAAAAGGTCAACAACAGCACTTTGAATTAGGAGTGAGATATGTATTGAAGAGTGTTGTAGCTGGCCTAGTATATTGCAAGGAGGGACATGAGAAAAGCCTTGCTGGATCAGCACAAAAGCCCATCTTGTTCTTCACCAACCTGTTCTCACAGTGCCAACCAGATGCCTATAGGAAGTGCAACAATGCCTCTCTCCACTTATGAATCCTGGTAACTGGTACCGAGGTAGAACATAGCCAGTGATAACCTTATCCTCCATTAATTTGTCTGATCCTCTGATCCTCTTTCAAAGACACCCAACTTTGTTGGTGGCCATCACAACATATTGTGGGAGTGAGTTCCACAGTTTAACACTGCACTGTGTGAAGAAGTACTTCCTTTGGTCTGTCCTGAATCTTCCAACATTCAGATTCATTGGGTGGCTCCTAATTCTGGTATTGGGAGGGGAAAAAATATCTCTATCCACTTCCCCCCACACCATGCACCAGTAAGAGTGATACTGTTAAATTGAGATGAGGTTTCTTTTCCAATGGAATAATGATTCCACATTAATGCAATCAAAGGAATGAAGCAGAATAAGGGGGTGGGGGTGGGAATCGCTTCTCCAAAAGGAGATTAAAGTCATTAAAAGTGGCTAATCCTGCAGAGTGGGACTATTTGAAAACAGAGGAACCATGTGATTGGTGGAAGGCCTTTGTCATCAACCACAGGCTAGCATCAGCAAGTATGAAAAAGGGGAAGGAAATTCAATAAAGGTTTAATTAGGAGGGTGGGTGAAGAACACTAAGCAGGTTTGTGAATGCAAACCTTCTTGAGGATAGATGCGCAGGTCACGGAGCTTCCACGAAGGAACTCGATAATCAATCACGAAACAGAGCAGTCATTTAGCCACTTAATGCTCAGTGCATTTTACATGCCTGCGTGCATTCATCTTCATCACTGAGGAACTAATTCCAGAAGGGATGAATCCCATAAATGCATTTCTTTATCTAATAAGAGCAATTTGGCTCAAATTGTCATGTAAGTTACATATGTGCAACATTTATCTTTCAGATTAACGTTGACTCTGAACAAAAACCTACGCAGGAACCAATGAGGACCATGCACCGAATATGACATGGTCTGCTTTCCTAACATAATAAAGACAGACACGAACGGCTGCTAAGACTCTTTGGTTGTTTGAGTCAGTTGGATGTTCTGTTTTCGCTACCCAAATATTGGGTCAAATGGGAAAATCGAATTGCTGTCTTTGCCACAGTTCAGCTTTGCTTGCTTTACGATGGAGCTGTTCATTTATGTTATTTAAGGGCTTTTTTGTAATTTTTGCATATTGTAATTTTCTATTTCCTTTTATATGTTTTTATTTCATTGCTCCCTACTCTCAACTGAAATACAGTGGTACCTCAGGTTACATACGCTTTAGGTTACATACGCTTCAGGTTACAGACTCCGCTAACCCAGAAATAGTGCTTCAGGTTAAGAACATTGCTTCAGGATGAGAACAGAAATCGTGCTCCAACGGCGCGGCAGCAGCAGGAGGCCCCATTAGCTAAAGTGGTGCTTCAGGTTAAGAACAGTTTCAGGTTAAGTATGGACCTCCGGAACGAATTAAGTACTTAACCTGAGGTACCACTGTATTCAATGGAGAGTGAGGGTTATAAATACTTAGTTAATTAATGCAGTTACCACCACCACCCAGGAGAGTGGGCAACAGTGTAATTTTCCAAAGCAATGCAGGCTTCAGCCAGATTTAGAGAATTGTGCAACCAGGACCTTTGTGCAACCAGCATTTTCAGTGGATCCAATTCCTTCTTTGATTATCAAGCTACTTGGCTGAAGACTGTGCAGACTTTACCAGATTCTCTACCTAGAGCTGTAGTGCCAACAGGGAAAGGGAGTTCCCCTTCAGGGATGTTTAGTTATCACTTGACAGTAAAGGTATTTTAATGGCTCTAATAGTTTTACAGATGACCAGGCAGAAGAACGTCTATAACACTGGACAATAGTTTGAATGTTTCAAGCCACCGATATCCCACAGCTGATTGAATTCAAATATGCAGATACACAAGCTGAATGGAAACGTAACATATGTGATATTCTTTGCAAGTCTGGGGAGGAACAAGGAAAGGCAATGTTACCAGTGGTTCAACCCAACTTTGGATTGTGTTACAAGGACTCTTTGATTAAAATCAAATGCACTGCTGGGTAAACCTTCACACCACATAAGGTGTCTGACGACACCACTCTGCCGTGTGAATTAATGCAAATCATGTTTGCACAAACCAAATGTTTAAGCTTCCATGTTTTAAATTAAGTGTAACACTGATGTGTTTTCTGTTTACTGTTTTAAATAAATTTGCATTGTCTATTCATGGTTCCCCTTCCAACTTTAGATTCACAGTGGTACCTCGGGTTACGTACTTAATTCGTTCTGGAGGTCTGTTCTTCACCTGAAACTGTTCTTAACCTGAGGTACCACTTTAGCTAACGGGGCCTCCCGCTGCCACTGTGCCACTGCCGCACGATTTCTGTTTTCATCCTGAAGCAAAGTTCTAAACCCGAGGTACTACTTCCAGGTTAGCGGAGTCTGTAACCTGAAGCATCTGTAACCTGAAGCGTCTGTAACCCGAGGTACCACTGTATTGTGATTACTCAGTGGTCTGGGACTAGAAACAGCTTGATTAAGAGACTAAGTCTTTAACAGGCTTCAGACATCAACATGGGGGGGGCACGAGGAGTCTGGCAGTGCCTCCAAGGGGCTCTGCATGTGACCCCCCCCCCAGATTCAGAGGCAATGTGCCTATGAGAATGCCAGTTCCTGGGGAGCCACAACAAGGGGAGAATTATTGCTGTGCTTCCTGGGGGCATATGGTTGTCCCTCTCTGTGGAAGAGAATGCTGACCTAGATGAACCTTTGATTTATTTGATTTATATACCTCCCTTCATCGAAAGATCTAAGGGTGGTCCACTTGCATCAGTTTCAGACATCATGGCATACTTCTACATTTGCATGCAAAAGGTCGCAAATTCAATCCCTGGCATCTCCAGGAGACAAGTTTAGGTTATGTTTCTTAAATCTGTTTATCACTTCCCACTAAAAACTCTCAAAGTAGTTTACAAGCAAATAAAACACACAGTAATAAAATTACTAAAAAGGATTTAACAATATTGCATTCTTATTTTTATTATTTACACTTTCTGCACTCAGGCCTCTCAAAACAACTTAGACAGTAAAAATAAAACAACAGAAGACAATGACGTAACTAACTACCCTCCCAGTTAAAAACCGTAAGCCTGGGTAAATCAGAAAGTTTTTGCTTGGTGCCTAAAAATGCGATAGTGATGGCGCCAGGAGTGCTTCCCTGGGGAGAGCATTCCACAGTTGGGGAGGTCCCAATGAAAATGTCTAAACTAATGTCACCATCCTCTGTACTTCCCTTGGAGAGGGCACACAAAGAAGGGCCTCAAATGATGAACATGGTATCTGGGTTGATTCAAGTGGGGAGAGATAATATCTGCCCAAATGTCTTTGTCTAGTGTCAAAATGATGACAATGTTGGTACCGGGCAGATCCAGTAGGAGGAAGATCCAGTGGCAGGCCTTAAGACTATGTAGAGCTTCTGCAAATCAGTACAGACAACACTGGGCTAGATAGACCAAACAGCCTGACCTAGTGTAAGGGAACTCTTATGTTCCAAAGTCATACCTTTAGTAATTTATTTCACTATATTACTCATCCTCTCCTGTGGACTATTAAGAGGCTTTAAACACACGACACCACACACACAGGAAAGGGCCAGACTGACAGATCCTTCGTCTGCAGACCAGATTTCCTGGTTACTTTTGACACCGCAGCTATATCTTATTAAGAGTGGAAAAAATGACAGCTACTCATAGGAAA